ATACAGAAGAGCCCCGGGCTGTGGGTTCCAGCTAAGGCAGCTGTTGAGCGCTCGTTGCCTGTTGCACAACTTTGTTCACCCGTTTGCAGCGGAAGCTTTAGAGCAAGACATTCCCAGAGAGAGTCGTGGTGGTGACCTGGCAAACCCTTCAGCTCATGGGTGACGGCAGGAATACTTCACAGGTTTCTTGAACCGACAAACCAACCAACCAACCTCCGGTCCCAAGGTTATGCTCATGATGCAGCTTTCCAGGGTAACTCCCTTTCTCTTTCAGTGCACAAGGACGCTGGTTGTTAAAGGGCAGCTGTTTGCTCAAGCGCTCACATTCTTTCTTGATCTAAATTACCACAATGACACTAAAGTCAATTTGACCTGAGCTTGAGGAATACATTAACATTTGGAGGTATCACTTCCCACTTCTTATGCCATAGTAAAGCTAGATTAATTCCCAGCTTTTATCTGGAAAGCAAACCAAAATGGATCAATAATGCTACATATTAATCCCTGCACGTTCTCATCGCTATGGGCCCAAAGCAGGGTGAAAGAGTGAAGGTCTGTGGAGCACGAGAGGCTCCCCCGGCTCCACGTCCCTGGAGGCTCTGGCAGTCTCGTGCACAGCCAGGGAGCCCCCCTTAGAAACAGCTTCCCTAGGGGTTTTCCTCCCAAGAGTTTTCCCCTGAACTTCAGGGTGGGTTCTCCACTGAGAAAGCAGCTGGGAGGTTTCTAATTTTGTAATGTGCATGTATGAAACTGCTGATTTTAAGATTTCATAATTTCAAAATTCTGGATTGTCTTCAAACACAGACTCCTTTAAGGCTTACTGAGGATTAACAAAGAAGCACAGCTTGAAGTTTCTAGTTTCAACAACTTAGTAGTCAGTATATGCAAAAGAAAAAAAAATGTATTATGTTTATATAGCTCAGGAAATATTGAAGAATTTTCTCATTTTTTTCAAATTATGTCTAGGCTAGAATTTAATATAATATTTTAGTTACATCCTGAAGCTTTGTTTGCAGTGGTTTGAAGCTTTAGCACTGAGTTCACACAGTGAATCCTTTGGAGAAACTGCTTCTTTGGAACTGGAAGCTGTGCAAAAGCTCTTCTGTTTCCAGCCTTCCCAACAGGCTGGCCACGGGCACAGCAGAGCTCTGCAAAGTTCCTGAGCAGACACAGGCCAACAAGGAAGAAAAGTACATGAAAATACAATTCTGCATCAAAAATATCTTGCATAAAATGTAAATGTTTTCTGCTGAGTCTGCTCAGGATTTTTCCAAGCATTACTTTGAACCACAAGCTCAAATCAGAGTATGAAGCTGGAAAAGGTGGCTTTAGGCAGGTTGTTATAGAAGACATTGGGCAGCGTGAGAGCTAAGCTGATTTAAATGAGATGTAAATGAATCCACCACAGCTTCACAAGATTGCTGAAAGCAGCCACTGAGTAGTCCCTTCAGACTGATAACTATTAACTATAAACACATAGCTTGCAGCCACAGGGCTGCTTCTTCATTTTGCATGAAGTATCTGTTCCTGGAAAGTAAAGTGTTTTCTGATTTTTAAT